TACACACCTTCAGAAACAACCATTTTCAGCAGCCCTTCATAAACTGCTTTTGCTAATGAACCTGTAAGAGAAAAAGGCTCTGGGCTGTAGCACCTCCAAATCTCAAAGGCCACACACACAAAGACCACCACTATCTAAAATCTGGAAGATTCAGTGGAGTTAAAGTAACTCCAGACTTTCAGAAATTATTCAAGAAAAATAATCTGTCCTCTCTCAACTGTAACTCTTTTTGTACACCAAGTTTTTCTTGAATTTGTATCTTTGCAACATCAAGCTCATAAGCTCTTGCCATTCAGCCTGCCACGCCAATCACGATGGAAGCGCTATGCTTAGGACACCCTGAGACAAAGATTCTGGTCAGAACCTTAGCTGTTGTAAACTGAAGTCACTCCATTAATGACCTATTCATTTCACCTGAGGATGAGAGCACATGAAAGAACAGGGTGGGTGGATGCTGCTGATTTACTTTCCGCAAATATTTGATGACATGATTAGGTAACATCGGTTTGTTCAATAGGTTTTAATTATGCTTTGGTTGAAGGATTTCCTATTCTTCTACATGCTATGGAAAGGAGGAGACAAACATTATTGGACTGTGAGTGACATAGATTTTACCAAAAAAATACTAACCAACCAGTTCCCATCTTCTAATTAGATTTATAACTAAAACCATACCACACAGAGGGAAAATAAAAGACACAGAAATTAGCAAAAAGGTTTTTGAAAGATTTGGAAAAAGGTTGAAATAAAATGTGATAATCTAATGGAAGGGGGAAGAAAGAGGGAAATGGAAAGTGTTTGAAGCGCTTAAAAATAAACTAGCGTGTGCCTAAGGGTCATGCCTGCCATTTCATACTTAAACATACCAGGACTGGAAAAGGCTAGCAAGGATGGAAAACCAAAAAAAAGTGCCTGAAGCAAAAGTGAGAGTGAAAGAGAAACAACAAAAAAACATGGAAAAGGACCAAAAGACTTGTAAAGGAAAGAATGAGGAAACAGAGAAAGAACAGAAGGGCTCTGGTTCAGCCCTGCACCACACCTGCCTCGTGGCTTTGGTGCCGCACGCTGCGGGAGCCAGGAGCTCAGCTCCCCGCATCCAGCCTCCGGCCCCACTGACCCACGCAGTTTGTTCACTCAGGAAGTGGCATCCTGGCAATACTTACTTTCCCCTTCATTAAAAGGTAAAGCTAAATTGCATGGACAAAGAGTGAGAAGTGGAAAATGCCTGACAATTTTCAATCTCTGCCTCTTGCTCCCACGTACCATGAAACAAATAAAAACTGAAGCAATTTAAATTGGATGGCTTGCCAAGAATATCTTTTGCAAATGCATTCACTGTCATTATTAGGACAGACGTCACATTTCCGTAACATTTCAGCTGAGCTTATCAGCCCTGAAATACTACCCCTACGAAAACTCAGGGATATCTTCAGTTAATTGACATGTGGATGCCAGATCCTTATCCATGCATAAGACATGGACAGCAGTTATGGACCACTTCAAGTCTGGGAGGACACTCCTATTTTCAGTTAGCTGAAGTTACTCACTGACATAACAGATCTATCACAGGCCAAGAAGCTGTAACTGGGATCTAAATCCATTTTTTGGTCCCTACATATTTTCTTAATTATTGCCGAGTATCTTCTTTACAATCTGCACAGAAACTATGTTCTGGCTAGAGCACTGGTCATACTAACATTAAAAAAAAAAAGAGACTGTGATAACAGCAAAATTCAATCCACTGTGATGCTACAGTTTCCTGTACATTTTGAGGCAGCAGAAGGCACTGCCAGAGCCTGTGCTGCAGAGGCTCACCTGCCCCAGCCCCACGGGGGAACTACTCTGGCCTGAAATCCATCCAGCAAAACAGAAATGTTCTTGCTCAGATCCTTTTGCCTCTATACACTGCTGTCAGGCACCCTCACCTACACGAGCGTTTGAGAAGCACCAGTGCAAGCTGCACACCCCTTGTCTCGCATGCAGCCGGCACAGTTTGGCATTCTCAACAGAAGACCCAGCTGCATACCATAAATCTTGGAAAGTATCTGATTTCTTGAACAAAAATCCTATTTGTGGCCAGGAACTGAAAGGGTCTGGATCATATCTTGTTACATGCTACCCGAGAGAAGGAAAAAAAGAACAAAAAAAGAACAGCACTCACCAAAACAGCACACCTACAACTCGTCTATGGCTTCTCATAACTCTTAAACCCACCACTTACGCTATACAATTGTGCGGCACAGGAAGAGACACTGACAGACTTAAGTGAATATGGGCATTTTTATACCTTTTCTATTACCTGACCAAACTGAAATATTGACTCCGTGATGGTACTGCATTTCCCCTGACAAAGAAGTCCTTCAGTACATCAGAGCGAACTAAAACTCAGATTCCATTTGAACAGTGATGGCAGCACTTAAAACCATTTTCTCTGGAAACGTTCTTGCCACTAAGTATTAATAACACCTTTACATTAGAGGTCTGTGGGATTTTGAAAAGAAAACTAGTATGTACGTAGGGAGACAAGCAAAGCAAAAGAAATTGGAAAAGAACCACACCTAAGTGATAGATGAAAGGAGTGATTTCTTTGAAGAGGGTGTCAACAAATGTGCCAGTGCATTTTTATGAGTGACACATAAGCAGAAAAGGGGGAAAAGAAAGGATATTGAAAGCAGAGAGAGAAAAAAAAGAAAAGCATGGCAGTAGGAGAGAAAAAAAAGCCTCAGAAAGCAAGGCAAGGGCTCTTCCGTAACAACCTACAAAGGCATCACACTCACAAGTTGTCACCTCTCTCGTACTAAGTGCAGTCCTGCAACTCACAAGCCCTTCCAGTGCTCCAGTGTGCCCTCAATGAGGTGCTACGCAAAAAGCCAAAGGCACACTCTTACTCCAGCACTGGTGAAATTTTACAGCACAAAACTGTAACTGAGTGAGAGCTGTGCCAAAAACCTTCATTGCTTGCGGAGCTCACCATTTATTTTCAGCTGATTTGTCAAAAGCACTTGGTTTGTCTTAATGCCCAACAAACTCCCATTCTTCCCATTAAATGGAATCGAGCCAGTGCCAGGAGCTTATGCATTTCCATTCTGCGCCCTTGTCTTTGTGACGGGGCCTGATCATCGCTGATAGCACATTCAGGGTGTTACAAGAACAACAAACCCCACAAATGAACTCATGCAAATGTAATGCCGAGGTAATTGAATGCAAAGTCAGAATAAGCTTGGTGTCTACATTTCCTCCCTCTCCCCAAAGCAACGACCTTCTTCAGGAGGAAAGGCGAGTAAGATACACCAGGCAACTTGAAACCTTGTCACTCATTATTTCTTATAATAAGGTATCCAGAGATATTAGGAGATTTTTCAGAACTCTACTACAGATCTTTGTGCCAAAAAAAGCAAACACAAGACAAACTCTGACCTGTGTATTTAAAAACAAAAAGCAGTTTGCAGGCTTGCTCACCTAGTTCTTCCCCTTCAAAACCTCACAATCAGCCTAATTTGTTACAATTACTTTTGTAACAGCTATAGGCTTAGGTGCTATCTTCACAAGCACTATTTTCTGGTTTTGGCACTCCATCTGAGATATTTTCAATGAACTCAACATCCACAAGGTGGGTGTTCCAGTCATTGGCAAGATCTGGTAATGCATTTCATGGGTCTCCACCCGAGCGCCCCAAACCCCAGACAAATAAAACATAGAGTCACTTCTAAAGATTCTGCCCACAATGAATGCTCTGCACAATTTATCTCCCAGTCTTGTTCCAGACAAAGACAAACCACAACGGTACTTTTCAAGCAGGTTTGTTAACATTTGCCCTGAACACCATTCTTGACAAGAAAATAATATTCTTTATCACTGAAGATCAATCTTTGTTCTTTCTCTTGAAGACTGAATACACGTTAATGGACAGACATTTAACCATTCTTGCAGCCCTTCTTTCCCAGATCAAAAAATTAGGGTACAGAGAAGTTACATAAATTGCTCAGTCACCTAGACAAGAGCTATAGAGGCCCTTCCAACTGTCATATTATAGGTGAGGAAAAAAACCCCACGCTTTACTTAAGATCTGCCTTAAGAAAGGAAATTGTTAACCTGGGGCTGAGATCTTCTAACTAATCCTGGCTTATACAAATGAATAAATCGGAGCCAGTGGATTTTACTTCTTACTCCATTTCACTGCTATGTTGGATTTTACATTCAAACAACAGTACTATGTTCAATAAAACGGACTCTTCTTCTTCAGACTGATGTCTCCATTTAAACTACTGTTTGATTTAAACAAAACGCAACTTCTTTTTTCTTCCAGTGGGAAACATTATTTGGAGACTTTATCGATTTTCCTAAAGATTACTTAATGAAACATAATAGAAATATGCGCTGTTTTTTATCTGTATATATAAAAAACCACAAGAGTCTTTGATTCATTCTTAACGAACTTCAAAATTTTTCATTCTTAAAACCATATTGGGAGAACCTTCAACTTCATACTTGCTTATTTATTCAACTTAATTTCAGTCTTGCATTTACTATTATCTTCCTCAACATATTAAAAATAACACAAAACAATTATTATTACTTAAAACATTTGCATTTTTAAAGCAAAATATTTTGGCTAACTATAAAAAGTACTTGATATTTCAATAACAAGAAGCTTTTGGAATAAAACAAGAATCTAAAGGGTCAGTTAACTGTGATTTTCAATCTCTAAATTAATTAACTATAAGTAGCGGCTTCCAGTGAATCCTTCTTAGCAAGGTATCAACACCTGCAAAGGAGAAAAATTAATGAAAGCATTGTCATCATCTTAAATAAATACCTCACTCAATCACAAACAAAATGAACAAACATATGTGAGTGCCTTTGATTATCACAATGACCAGCCTGAGTGTTCAATGCAGTAACGTCAAATGACAAGTAGTACTGGCTTTATCTCAAGCACGAAGACTCAAGTGTTGCTGTCTAGCTGCCGGCTACTGTTCCCACCAACAGAAGTCACCCACCTGGGGCAGCATGCGATTTTCCTCCTCCAGCTGTCTTACTCTTGCCTCCAGCTGCCTAACATAGGACAAGGTTGATTCTAAAAATCAAAAAGAAAAGAACTCATATTATCCACAGAGATCTGCTTCTGTTTACTAGTGTCAGAGCCTGTGCCACATTCTGACTTGTACTCACAGCAGATTGTCTCTCTCAAACGTCCATTAAAAATTCAGCTCTGCTGCTCTCAAGGGCAATGCAAATACTAGAACGAATCCAATTCCTTGTTGCTTGCGATTCTAAACTGCTGTGCTTTACGATGGTCCCTTCTCAGACACCAAGTATCTTGCAGAAAGGCAACACAGACTCGAGTTCTTCCAACCCATCCCTTCAGCTCTGTGAGCTTGTACTCTATTTTGGAAATACTCCATAAGAGTAAGGCAGTATCCCACCAAGCAATGACTGAAAATCCCAGAAAGAGAAGACAGTCTTCTGCAGGAAAACAGAGTCAAAAAGGCCCCTCCACCATGGAGGTCTGGTGGTGCACATGTAGCCTCCCCCTGAAAGCCATGATCTCACCTGTGGAGAACACAGCAGCTTGCCAGCATGGAGGCTCAAGCCTCAGCCTCTGCTAAGCAGATGTTGTCATGGCTTGAGCCTGTGCTAGAAACCAGATGTGTGTCCCCAGGGCACTGAGAGAGTTTGGATCCTGGCCTGCCCAGGGCACGTACTCCTCACCCCACACACGCCTGAACAGCACCATGCTCAGACATTCTCTCACAGCGCTGCTTTGATATGCGGTCTTGGTTGAAGAACAAAATCCTGCCCACTCTACTCACAAGTAACCTCACTGACCTTCATAAGATAATTTGGTTAATTATGGAGAATATGAGTCCCTCCTAGTCTGCTCTGTTCCCCAGAACTTTACAGAAGAAGAGTAAATCCATAATCCATCCCTAAAAGCATCTGAGAGCTTTCTTACCATGCATTTCTTGGGTCGCACAGAATTCCTGCTATTAAAGCCCTGTATCTAGGAGAAATACATGACTGAAAAAGTGGCACTCAACTGTAAGAGGAAAGATATTTTCTCAGTCCAGAAACACTTGCTGTGACTCTTGTACCTCCTTGTATAAAGATGGAAGTCTACCAAGTGCTCACTCCTGACTTGATCCACTCAACTTTCTCCAGGATGTCAATTCCAGTAACATATTTGTACTGATACTACCACATAGCTAGTAAAATTATCTCTCCAATGATTAATGGTATGGAATCCATGAGTATTGGGACAGTACTGTCAATTGACACAACCCTGCAAAGCTGCATTAACAACAGAGATATTCACTGGTTAAACTGACAGATGAATTTGTACACCAGTTTCCTAATCACCATGCCAGCTTGCCCATCAAATAAAGGTGATGGGAAATGAGGCGTCACTTACTGCTCCTACAAGACTGCAATAGGCTAAAATATGCCTGCACAGATAGTGCATGGGAATTTACACAGAATCACAGAATGGTACGGGTTGGAAGGGACCTCTGTGGGTCATTTAGTCCAACCCTCCTGCCGAAGCAGGGTCACCTACAGCAGGCTGTAGAGGACTTTGTCCAGGGGGGTCTTGAAA